CTTCCTTGAAAAAATCTTTTCTATGTGACTCTTCCCGGAGCAGATCAAACAGTGTGCCAGCTGTTCTATCGACTGCTTGACGTAGCCTATCTTGATGGCCTGCCTGTTCTCGATCATAGGATATTTCCGATGAGCTTCTACTTTATGATCACTGGTCTTTGTTGGTGTGTTGTTGTCAGCAATCGTGGAGTGGGTGCTGCTTGCGGTGATGTGTTGACGCGGGCAGAGAAAACCAATGGGAACCCTTGATTTCCCATTTGAGCCCACAAAAAAGAAAAACCAGGAAAAAAAAAACGAAACGAAAACCTGAAAAAAAAAAAAAAAAAAAAGAGAGAGAGAGAGAGAGAGAAGGAAGCGGGGAGAGCGAGGGCGAGCGAATGAAGAGGAGAGATAGGAGAGAAAGAGAGAATGAGCCGAAGGAGGAATGCGAAAAAGTGGAGGAGGAGGAGGGGGGGGGGGGGAGGGTCGAAAAGGAAGAGAAAGGCTCAAAAAAAAAAAAAAAAAAAAAAAAAAAAAAAAAGATGACGACGGTTCGTGCGACTAAAACAGACACAGACTCGAACAAGGAGGGATAACTGAGGGGGGTAGGTTGATGGGAATAGTGGTGGGAAAGGACTCTGCCCCCACGCACAAAACTGGGAGTGGTCGTGACAGGAGGGTGCATGGGTTGGGCTTGGCAAACAAAAACAAGTCAAACGAAAGAAATAGCGATTCGCATGCGCGTCGCGGTTTTGAATTTGCTGCGACCCCACTCTCCCTCCAGAGCACAGAATCCCATCATATGGCGATATCTGGATGGCTACATCCAAAGGCTATAAAGGGAGTCAACGATACAGAGAAACCCCCCCCAACCAGAAACGGAGAAAAAAAAAAAGAAAGAAGAAAAAAAGAAGCATCCGAAAAAGCGAAAAAGTCGTCAAGGTTGCTGTCGCCAGATCTGGCGACTCGGCAAAAGCGACACCACAAAGCATGCGCGCAAAAACGAGCCGATGAGACAGAACCTCGTCACACGAGAGAAAAAGAAACTCCGATGAGAAGAGCGTCATCCTGAATCGCTCAAACAAACAACAACAACAACAAAAACAGCATAAACACGCGTCACTCGCCAGTGGTGCAACCGTAAACCAATACAAGGAGCACCCACACAGCCACAGACACAGCCACATGCATGCACACAAGCACGGAGCACCACCGCAGTCCAAACGCAGAGCGAGAACAATGGATGCTTTTGTTTAGTTTTAGTTATTTTTTGTTTTGTTTTTCCCAAATGTTTGTGTCGTTTGTGTCAGCCACACACCCATGCGAAAACGAGAAAACAAAAAAACCGCAGCAGCCATGCATGCACGCTGGCACTCCTCTGAGTCCTTTCTCGACCAAAATAGAAGATGGCACGAGAGGTGTCGAGAGGCCGCGACAGCAAAAGGGCGGATCCAGCACAGGAATTAAAATTAAAATAAAAAAGCAGGAAAAAAAAAAGGGAAGGACGTGACACGATCAGCACAATGCAGATGCCGTTGTTTTTGTTTCTGCCCTTGTTTCGAAGGCGGCGTCCATCGCCACAAAGGAAGAGACAACAAGATAGTGCCAGATGGATGATTGATCGACGTAGTAGAAACGATGGCAGAGGCATTGGATGACAGCAAAGCGAGCATGGCAGCTGACAGATCGGTGTTGATCGATGGTCTCAACAAAAGAAAAATCACAAGACAAAAACATTCGCGACCAACTGCGATTGCGCACCGAGAAGATCAAGGAAGATCAAAGCAGAACAAGAAGGCGAGAAAGCAAAACAAAACACACCCACCCCCAGGGCAATGGCAGCGATGACAGACGAGAAAGAGATGAGGGCAACGAAAAAAAAAAAAAAAAGAAACGAAAAAGAAAAAAGCTCCACTCGATTGAGTCTGGTCAGATTCGAGGCGCACAGAACATCCCGCTGCCACCTCCGGCCGGTTCCAGGAGCACAAACAAGAGTGCGGGAACAACGGGTGCGCAAGAGGGAGAGAACGGGGGGGGGGGCTCCACCTGGCTTGGATCGACGGAACAAAAAAGCAAAAAAAAAAAAAAACAATGGCCTCACTTCAACGCCTCCTCTCTCTCTTTCTCATGCCAGTCGGCCGCTTTCATCCAACCGAGAGCCACCACCCTTTCAAATCATAATATAGTGTGCTTTGTTGTACCAGAGTTGCGCGAACGTCGCAAGGGCAGCGCCGAAGCGGCAGCTGTCGCCATGAAAAGGACTGACCAAAACCGAAAACAAAAAACAAAACAAAAACAAAAACAAAGAAGAAAAAAAAAAAAACAATCCCCTCCTTCAATTTCAGCTGGGCTTTTGATTGGATGACCGTGGTCGGCGAGAGCGGCACAGGCAACCCGCAACGAAGCATCAACAACGCTCATCAATGACATGCAAAGATAGGGCGGACAGGGCGCGAGTGGTTGAGCGATGCCGAGCCAAGTGTACATCTCAGAGGCGAAAAAATGGCAAACGCTACTTTCTTGTTGTAAAGCGCATCAAGCATCGCGCGAGCTCGAGCTCGAGTGTGTGCGCATGCGTGCGTATGTGTGCATGTGTTTCAATGTGCATGTGCACATGCATGTGTAATCGTGCGTGTGTTCGTGTACGGGTTGCTGTTTGACTATGCGTCAGGGCGGGGTGAATGACCAAGTTCGAATCACAATCGATTTTTTTTTCTTTCCTTCCGCTCGTTGCGCTCTCGAGCGCTCATAGCCGTGTCCCTCACCAGCAGTGCTGTTGCTCACTGTGCGGCGCACACCCAGGCACACCCAGACACACGCACACACACACACACATACACATACACAGTCCACAAGCGAGACACAGTGCGAGAAACGGAAACAACCAAAAAAAAAAAAAAGCAAAACAAAAAACAAGTCGAAAACACTACCCCTGCACCCGACAACGGGGTCGAGAAGCAGCAGCCTGCAGTGGATGGAGTGTGAAGCAAAGCCCAGTCACGATGCACACAGGGTGGGGGCACATCCGGCAGTGCTAGCACCGCACCGACAGCGGGGAAGGCAGAAACAAACAAAAAATAAAAAAATAAAAAAATATAAAAAAAATCGAGTCCGCCGACACGACAGATCAATTGGCTTGAAAACCCCACCGTTGCGGCCATTGAGTGACAACTGTGCGTCGGGGCGACACGGGCTACCCTCTGCGCACATGCCATGTGCATCCAATAGAAGGCTCTCTGGTTCCGCGGTCGCCCTGCATCTCCCGCCACAAAAACAAAAAAAAAAAAACAAAAAAACCGCCAGCCAAAAAGCCAATGCAGGTTTTTTTTTAAAAAAAAAGAAAAAGGGGCGAGGTTGGTAGTGCGCATGTCGAGCGGCCTGGGCAGCTGGAAAGCACGAGGGCCCGATAGCACTGTGTGGTGTTTTCGGGTTGTTGCGTTTGAGCGCGGCTCAGAGTGGCAGCGGATCGATTGGCGAGCGACGAAGGTTCGTTCCGCGCCCTTCCGCCGCTCTGGTTTCGCTCCACTGCCCCTCGAAGCTTAAGGCGCAGTTGCGGAGGGTTGGGGGTGGAAGCGAACATGGAGCTCGCTTCGAGAGTGCCGAGAAGAGCGACAGGGAGCGAGGGGCGGGGACGGAGGAGAAGCGACCGAAGCGCATTGGCAAAGACGCGACATGTGTGTGTGTGGGTCGCGATGAGCTGGGGCCTTGTTGAGTGGGGGTTTTGAATCGACGCTGAGGGCTTTCCGTGTTGGAGGGAGCACGGATGGGTGCTGATCACGATAGGTGGTTTGCGACACTGGTGTTGTTTGTGGGATGGAGGGAGAAGGGAAGAGGGAAGAGGGAAAAGAAACGAACGAACGAAAAAAAAAAAAAAAAAAAAAAAAGCCTTACCTTGCTGCATTAAAAAAAAAAAAAAAAAAAAAAAAAAAAAAAAAAAAAAAAAAAAAAAAAAAAAAAAAAAAAAAAAGAGTGGCAATTGAGTTGAAACGCGTTGTTTCGGACAAGAACTTCAAGAGCTGGAGGAAGGATGAGGGAGAGTTGGGGGAGGGATGAGGGGGGTGAGCAACACCTTCATCAGAGAAAAATAATATACAGAGTCAAGCGTTAACGAGCAAAGGAGACTAGCAGAGGGCGAAAAGAGAAAAAGAGTGCGTCAAAGATCAGAAACCTTGCTCAATGCTCTTTCCCTGCAATCAAGAAGACGACCGCAAGTACTAGCTCGACGCCTGGGAGTGACTGCCAAGAACGGGCGAAATAAAATTCCACTGCTCGGTATACAAAAACCTGCAGTGGAGAAGCAGGAATGACGGGGTACATTTGTAGATCATTCAGCTCGGTTTGCTTGATGTTGACACGTACCTCTACCTCCAGTCAGTCGCTCTTCCTTCCAAACCCAAAAAGATTTTTACCACTCCAGAATTTTTTGTCTTTTTGTTTGCTTCTTCGTTTGATCACTCACCGATCATGGCGCTGCGTGCGGCTCGCTGGCTCGTGGTTGGCGCTGCTTTCGGCCTGCTCGCCGCTTTCGCCCTCCCCGCGGACGCCGCGCGATCAGCCGCTGCGAATGCAGTCGCACTGCACCAGCTAATTGGCGCATTTCGAGACACGGGCCATCTGGCGGCGTCGACAGACCCGCTGCAGTACGCAAAGGCGGTTGGCACTCGGCCGGCGTCGCTCCCGCAGCTCGACTACCACACGTACGGCTTCACCGACGCCGACCTGGACGTCGCATTTGACCTTGGCGAGGAGCTCTTTGGGACGTCGTCCGACACAATGACGCTGCGGCAGCTCGTCAGCAACCTCAACCAGACGTACTGCGGCCACATTGGCTTTGAGTACGGCCATGTTGTGGATGCGGATCGCCGACAGTGGTTGGTCGAGCAGATCGAGACGCTCGCTGCCCGCGTCCCAAGCACCGTGTCGTGGTCGGACATGCTCGGATTCCTGGTCGAAGCGGACACCTTTGCGAACTTTGTCAACGAGACGTGGCCGGACGATTGGACGTTCCCAATGAGCGGGTTGAACAACCAGCTCACTGCAATCAAGTCGCTCATCCGCGCAGCCTCCGCCAATGGCATTCAGGCCATTCACTTTGGCATGCACCATCGTGGTCGAGACGAGTTTATGCACAATGTCATGCAAATCCCGCTTCCTGCCGTGTTCCATTGTGAGTTGGCAACAGTTTGTTTTCCGAATTGGTTCCTGCTGCTTGTGTGCTGCGGGGGAGGGGAGGGGGGCTCGAGGTCAGCAGCGCATGTTGTTGATGATGAAAGGGGCTTGTTGATTGCAATCCTATGGCTCTTGCATTGAGTTGGAGTCTCGCTCTGATCTGCCTTTTGTGTTTTGTGCACGGTTGCTCACCTCCGACCCCGCATTGCTGAAATCCCTACTCCTAATTCTTCTGAAAGACATGGATGACGACGATGCATCGCCAGGTCACCCCATCTGCAGCGCCGAAGGCGTCTGCTACTCTGGCGATTCCATCTACGGAATGGGCACCTCAGCGTGGCTCGAAATGCCAAACAACAAGTCCATTTGGGTGTCGGTGGCGTCCAACTCTGCCCATCTCGATTCCAACAATCCCATCGTTGCAGGTGAGTGGCAAGAGTTTTTTCGGCTCGCTGCAATCGACTTTTCTTGTCACAACCGGGAAAAAAAAAAAAAAAACAGCCTTTCTCTGTTGTTTTCCCCCTTGAACTTGCCTTTGTAAGACCTCTCCCTCACCGTCACAATCTCAATTCCCGGAGTTAGGAAGCGCGGGCGCTGTGATGGACATGATGAATGACACTGTCGGCGAGTTTGTACTGCCCGTCCTGATTTCCGGCGACGGTGCCGTCTCTGCACAGGGCATTGTTGAGGAGACCAAGCTGCTGACCAACCACATTCACGGCTACCAAACGGGCGGATTCCTGCACCTCGTCAACAACAACCAGATCGCCCACACAGTCGACCCGGCTGTCACTCGTGTGGTGCCCTATCCCACCGACTTTGCCAAGGTGATTGACGGCCCCGTCTTCCATGTCAACGGCGACGATCCAGAGTCGGTTGCCTGGGTGGTTGAACTCGCCATGCGCTTTCGCCAGCAGTTTCACGTCGATGTTGTTATCGATGTGATTGGGTATCGCCGCCAGGGCCACTATGGCAATCCGCAGGCCGACCACCCTCTGTGGAGCAACCCGCAGCTGTACGACTTTATTGCGCACCATCCAACAGAACTGGCAGTCTACAGCAACACGCTCATTCAACGCGGTGTCATCACCCAAGACGCCATCGACGGTCTGGTCGACGATGAGCACACGCGCCTCTACAATGGATGGGTCAACCGCACGCAGTACCCGGTCGAAGACATTGGCCAAGAGTACATCTGGCCCTTCCTGGAGGCGCCGTGGCCAAAGCTGCTGGCTCCGTCCTTTGCCGCCAATCTCTCAGCGTCCGTTGTCTCGACGATTGGGCGCACCATCCTCTTCGACGCCATCCCGGCCAACATCCAGCTGACTCCGGATCTTGCGCAGCTGCTCACGCTGCGCCAGCAGCAGTTTGACAGTGGCCAGGTTGGCTGGGCTGTGGCCGAAGCTCTCGCAATTGGTTCGCTGCTCAACGAAGGGTTTGACGTGCGCATGACCGGCCAGGATACCATCCTGGGCATTGCGCTCGTTCGCGCCATGGAGCTGTTTGATCGCAACACATTCACAAGCTACCGCCCGCTGGATCAGATTCGCACCATGATCAATCCTGCTGCCGGCCGGTTTCGCCTGTTTGACAGCTCGCTGTCCGAGCTGGCCGTGCTCGGCTACGAGCTCGGCTACAGCATTCAGCGCGGAGACGACACGCTCGTTTTGTGGGACATGCACAACGCCGACTTTATCAACAACGCGCAGATGATGGTCGACCAGTACATTGCAGAGGGCGAGGTCAAGTGGTTCCGGCAAACCCCTCTGACCCTCATTCTGCCCATGGGCTACGAAGCATGCAATGGCCCAGAGCACTCCAATGTGCGCATGGCCCGTCTGCTGTTGACCACAGACGGGAGCGCCGTGTATTGGAACAGGACGCGCACCATGTACGGCGACATGATGGCCGTCAACATTATCGTCATCTACCCGACGACCCCTGCCAACTACTTTCATGCCATTCGCCGACAGATGCACTTTAACAATCTGGCTGGCTACGCTCTGCGGAAGCCTCTGTTCCTTCCGCTGGGCCTGCGTCTGCTCAAAAACGACCACCTCACTTCGGACATGTCCGAATTTGCAACCGACACCTTCATGCCAGTCATCGGGGAGACTGACGGACGTATCGTCCACGCCTCGCAAGTCCAACGCATCATGTTTTGTTCTGGCCAGATTATTTCCGCGCTGAACATTTCTCGCGTCCATCGGAACAGGTGGGATGTTGCGATTGTTCGGCTGGAGCAGCTTTCGCCCTTCCCGTTCCAGCTGGTTCACGACCAAGTCGAAATGTACCCGAATGCGGACGTCATGTGGGTGCAAGAAGACCCCAGAAACATGGGCGCCTGGTTCCACTTCCAACCCCGATTTGCCGTGCTGTACCCTGGCAGGCCGCTGCTCTATGCTGGGCGCAACACAAGTGCTGCGGCTGCTACTGGCTTCTGTCGCCTCAGCCAAGCGGAAGAGCAGCTGTTGTTGAATGACGCGTTCGACCTGCCCAAAGCAATCTGGCTGCAGCCAAGCGATGCGCCCCTTTCGACAGCAAGCTGGGTCGGAATAGTTGTCGGAACCGGTGTTGTGATGCTTGTTGTCGGAGCTGTGGCCGCACTCTACATTATTGCACGCATCAACCGTCGCAACCGTTCCGAGCGATTGCTCGTCAATTAGTTGCCTTCTGTTCTTGTAGTTCTCTGTCATGTCTCTTCTTTGTCACAGCTAAAAAAAAAGCTGATCAGATTCTTGTCAAACTCCACCGACCGTGTTGCACCGAAGTACAATGAGAGCGAGAGAGGGAGAGCGAAAGCAACAAGACAAAAAACAAAATAAAAAAAAAAACTCCGAAAAAAAAAAAGCAGAGTCTTACATTATCGACCCCAATCGTCAAAACAAAAGTCAAACACAAACAGCTAGAACACCAATGAACAGAAACAGGACGAAAATGAACAACACAACGGTAACAAGAAGCAGCATCCTGGAATCAAGACACCTGCCGCGAAGCTAGCACAGAGTAGCCGGCATTATTTACCGCTGTCATTATACAGAGGATTGCTGTACTCTGTTCAAGCAAACATAGACAAGAGAAGGGGAGGGGGTGGGGGTCAGATGGTGGAAGCAAGCACCGCCGCAAATTCATGTTCAAATCCTGCTGCTCTGACAACACGAAACAAACAACAAATTTTTTTACCAGTTGTGGATGCCTTGAAGAGAGGATTATCGTCACCCTTCCACCGCGACTTTTCACGCTCAGCTTCGAACTTGCCCCATTCTCGGCGATCACGCATGCCGTTGATCAACTTGAGAGCGACCAGCGCTGCGATGGCGGCGACAATAATGCCACCAAACACACCAACAAAGACACCAATCGTGGTGCCGACAGGGAGATCGCCAAGGAAGGGGCAGTCGCCGTTGGAGCGGATGACCGTTCCAGTGCAAACGTTTTTGACATTGCCATTGGTGTTGTTGTAGCATTTGCCGAGATCCTCGCACCACATGCAGCCGCGGTCATTGTGATCCGTGCAAGAGCCGCAAGACGTGTAGTTGGTGCAGCTGTCGTGCGGGCACGTGTTGTTCACAGCGGTGACATCGCACCAGGTGCACTGGCCAGGAGGTCCCCAGAATGGCGCACACACGCAAGTGCCGCAAACGCACGTGCCATGCTCGCCGCAGTCGTGACTGCAAGGGCCGCACTCGCACGAAGGTCCTGTAAAGTTGTTCTTGCAGTGGCATGTGCCGCAAATACATTCGCCGTTGCCCGCGGCCTGGTTGCACTTGAAGCCGTTGATGGTTTCGCCGCCGCACTCGACCAAGGAGCAGTTGCAGCTGGCCCCACTGTAGAGCGGGCTGCCTTGCGCGTCCGCGTCGCACTTGCACTGGTGGCACTGGGTCGCATCGCTCACGCACGTTCCATGACCAGAGCACTCGGACGTGCCGTCCCATCCGGCGCAGTGTTCAGTCCGGTCGCACAAGCACTCGGTCTCGGGAGTGTAGTTGCCAGTGCAAACGCACTGACTGCAGTTGCAAGATCCATGGCCGAGCGCAGAGTTGCAGTTGCTCGCCGAGTTGCATCCGACGTTCCAGCACGAGCAGTCGGCGCCAGTGTACAGGCCGGAGCAGGTGCACACACCGCACGTGCAAGTGCCGTGGCCGCTGCAGCCGTTGGGGCATGGTGCGTCCGAGCATGAGCAGTCGGGCTTGGACTGGTAGCCAACATCGCAGGTGCAGGTGCCGTCGCAGTTGTTGCACTGGCCGTGGCCCGAGCAAGTCAATCCGCCGCGCGAAGGGCAGTTGTTGTTGCATGCGCAGTTCAAGCCAGAGTAGCCCGCCTGGCAGCGACAAACTCCACATTGACAGGTGCCATGGCCGCTGCAATTGTCCGGACAGACGGTCGAGCAGGAGCAGGACGAGCCAGTCCATCCAGGCTCGCAGACGCACGAGCCAGCCGTGCAGTTGCCATGTCCACTGCAGCTATTGGGGCAGGGAAGAACGGGTGTATCGCAATAGGTTCCAGTGTAGCCGGGACGGCACGTGCATTGGTTGCACTTGCAGCTGCCGTGGTTCTCGCAATCGACACCGGAGCCCGAGGGCTTCATGCAGCCAGGCGCAACGGTCGGGCACGAGCAGTCGATGGCAGAGGTGCTGTTCCACGCTGCGTCGCACGTGCACACACCACAGTTGCAGGTACCGTGGCCAGAGCAAACGTCGCCAGTCGAGGTCGGGCAACCCGTGGTCGGGCATTCGCACGCGGGGCCAGCAAAGCCTTCATTGCAAACGCAGGTACCGCACTGGCACGTGCCACGAAGAATGCCGTTGCACACGGCGCCATTGTAAGACGGGCAGGCCATGGGATCAGAGTTGCACGTGCACGTCTCGCCAGTCCAGCCATCGTCGCAAGTGCAGCGGCCACACAAGCAAGTACCGTGACCGTTGCACTTGTTGACCGGGCAGAGCCCCGCGCAGTTGCAGTCGTTGACGAGGTTGACGACGATGGAGACTGCGCTAAAGCCGACGAACGTCACGATAATCGTGTTGCCATCCGTGCGGGCTCGGGTGCCGTCGTACAGCAGGGTAAAGTTGAACTTGTACGTAGTGCCGACAACGACATTGGTGTAGCCAACGGCAGCGGCGGGCGAGATGGCGCTGATAAACCCTTCGTTTCCGTTGGACTGGACGGCGGCAACAATGGTGGAAGCAATCGAGTTGTATGCGTCGCTCAAGAGCTGAACCAGGTTATCCGAGTTGGTGGCCAAGGTGCCAGATTGGCCAAACCCGAGTGCGGTCACAAGATCCTGGAAGGTGCGCTGGTTGATGCCCGTGGCGGTCGAGCCGAAAATGGGGACAATGTTGTTCTCAATCAGAGCGTTTTTGAGCTGGGAAAAGCTTGGATAGTCGTACTTGGTCGACGCATCGTCGATAAACCGGTTGACTGCATTTGTATTCGTCGAAGGAAGGGTGAAGGCAGAGTCGGGCACATAGCACTTGTACGGGAAGGGCTCGACAATGCCAGCCATGTAGCCCTCCTTGCGGAAGTGGGTCGTGTCATCAGTCAGCATGAGCATGAGCCGGCGGGGCTGATACGTCGTGTTGAAGCTGGGCCAATCGATCAGCTTTTGGCACAGAATGGCCTGGAGCATGCCGTCAATCATGTTTTCAGGCGTGTCAATGTTGCCTTGAATGCCAGAGATGCCCTGAACGAGCGTCACAAACTGGCCGAGGTTGTAGGAGAGCGGCAGGCGAGCTCGGAAGGCGTGGTTGGTGGGCAAGCTGGTGCCGCCAGTGTACGTCGAGTCCTTAATCCAGCCAGAAGTCGTCCAGCGGCCCATCGGGTAGGCAGGCTTTTCGAGGAAGCTGCCAAAGCCCAGACGAGCGCAGTTCGTGTTGGAGCAGGTGGGGTTGCTCGTGTCCGTGCACAGCTGGGTCACCTTGGTTGCCAGCGGTTGCGCCAAGCTGCGCACCTTGGTCAAATCGTCGTCCATCGAGCCGGAAAAGTCCATCAGCAGGTACAAGTCGACGGGTTTGCACGGCTGCGGCGTCACAGATACGGTGACAAGCAGCGGTTGGCCCGCACGCAAAAAGACGTTCGTCGTGGTCGGGCTGACCTCGGGCGTTGAGCCGCTCGTGCCCAGAACGCGAGACGCCGGGCTCTGCCAGTTTGAGCATGTGCCAGCCGCCGACTGGCACTGGCCGTGGTCGCCGCACCAGCCGCACATTGTCAGCGCGGCATTGTTGATGCAGTCCTCGCAGATGGTGAATGCGCTGCACGGATCGGATGTCTGTGCGCGAGCTGCAGAAACAAAAAAGAATAAAAAGTTAGTGTGTTTTTTCGGGCTCGTGCGATGATGGAATTTTTTTTTTTTTTTTTTTTTTTTTTTTTTTTTTTTTTTTTTTTTGTGTTCAACCACCGTCGTCGTCGAGCAAAGTGGCTCAATACATGCGGCGTGCACACGCTGAGCTCCCCCCAGTCCCACCGCAAGCAACAGACAACAAAAAGTAGAGTTTTAACACCCGTCGCAAGCTGCATAAAATGGAGACAGACATTGGCGTTCAGGACAAGGGGTGTTGCCGAATGTTAGAGTTGGAAAAAAAAAAAAAAAAGACGAATAAAACAAAAAAAAGGCTCGATCGAGCAACCGATAGCCAGAGGGGGCACCGGAGCACAAGCAGAGCTCGAGACAAATAGGTGTAACGACTGTTTGTTTGACACGACAATAGCTCCGTTCTGCGTTTTGCAGCCGACGTGCCAATCGTCGTCAAACATCCAGTACAATAAATTACAATAAAATATACAATAAAAAAATACAATAAAACAAATAAAATATTAAAAAACCTTGTTTTTTCTTTTTGTTTTTTCTTCGCTTCGGCAGAGCACAGTTCGGTCGTTCCGAAACGCCACCACAGCAACGTCGCAGGGAGACGCGCACATGCAGCAACCACCACCACCATAGCACACTGCATCCTCTGTGCAACGCCACAGCACAACGAGAGAGTCGCAAACCGACCTTGGCCAAGGCAAAGCAGCAGCGCAAGAGCAAGCAGCGCCAAAACTCGCTTCGCTGCCATTTTGTGAAAAAGCCAAAAAAAAAAAAAAAAAAAAAAAAAAAGTTGAAAAAGAAAAACGAAAAAGAAAAAGAAAAAAAGTTGAATGTCCTGCGTTTGGATGTTCGCCAAAAAAGAATCAAAATCGAATTGAACACGGTTGCACAGCTTGCGCAAACATGCCAGTCACAGAGGTTGTGTTTTGGTCAATAAGAGGTCCTGGGGGAAAATGTCGAATTGGAGAAAAAAAATGCGACTTGTCGCGGTTGTGGTAAAACAAGATCAAAAAAATCAAAAATAAAATAAAAATAAAAAACCACCGATCGCTGTGACGGAGATCAAAGACCTTAAACGGAAGCCAATCACGCCATGAACAATGCGCGCCCCGCTGGCTGCTCGGCCACAGGGACGAAGAGCCGATTTTCTGAATTTTTTCTTATTTTTTTTTCGTTGTGTCCGTGTTTCCTCAGACGGCCGTGACTTGGCGATCAAGGTGTCTGCGATAACGTGTTACTCGTAGATCGATTTTTTTTCGACTTGTTTCGCGTTTCGGCGCGACAGTTCGCTTTTGGCTCCGGCAGGCTCCAGTCCACTCTTGATCCCTCGCGTCCCTGCACAGCTCGGCTGGGTGCACGTACGTCACGTTTCGGCCATGTTTGAGAGCTCGAGGAGGAGCAGGAGTCGAGCGACACGTTGAAGTGTGAAAACCAAAGTGCAATCAACACACGCGTTTTGCCTTTTTTTTTTTTTTGTTATAAAACACAGATTTTTTTATTTTTAAAATTGTGCAGAATTAAAAATTGATTGTTTTGGACACTTGAATTCTTCGCCGCAGTTGCAGACTTTCCCTTTGCTTGCTCTGCTTTGGCAGGGGAGCGCATCGGCTAGAGTGAGAAAAAGCAAAAGGGGAGTCGAGACAGCGAGCGCATCCACGTCGCACGGCATCGCAGCGTTGCGCAAAAAGCCATCGCCGCTCGTCGCCACAACCCTTTTGAATTCTTGTGGTTGCCATGCCAAGAACGTGATCAGAATTTTACACTAGTCTTCCACAGAGATCGGGACAGCCCGGGGACAAATCAGATGGTCGGCTTGTAATGTGCGTCTCTCCTCGCTTTATGCTACAGAAAACGAGGGACTGAGAGCGAGCGGGGTTGGGGGGCGGGCGGAAGGCGCGCTGAAATCAAGTGATGACGAAAACCGCATCATCCTGGCGCCCCCAGCATTTTCGTCCGCTGTAATTTTGTACTAGTACACGCCTCTGCATTTGCATTGCTTTCTCGGATAGGATCGTTCAGTTTAAAAGCGAGATCATTCTTGTTCTTTTTTTTTTTTTTATTCATTTTTTTTATTCTTTTTTTTTTTCACCTGTTTTTTTTTTTTTTTCTTGCAGCCATGCAAAGACGAATGCTGCACCTGGGCCTGGCGGTTTTCTGCCTTGCCATGGTGACACGCTTAACGTACGCTCAGTACATCTCACCTGCGCCCGTCTGGACGGCTCGCGGCGAACAAGCAGGCGCACGCTTTGGTAACACTCGCTTCGAACGCCCTTTATTTTCGACAGTTGTTCGGCTTCTTTTTTTTTTTTTTTTTTTTTTTTTTTCTGTGTAAGACTTTGTTTAAGTGTGGGACGAGTTTTTTTTTTTTTTCTTGTTCTTTTTTCCCAGTGCACTTGTGGTACAGCGCAGCGTCCAATACGCGGTCGCTCAGATACCGAATTTACGCTTGTGCTCGATAGTTTGTGCGTGTGTGTGTGGAGGAAACGCTTTAGCAGCTGCTGTCGCTTGCCTGTCGATGAGCGAAGCTGCTTTTTTCTTCTTTTTCCCTGTTTTTTTTTTTTTCCAGTTTTTATTTTATTTTTGGTTTTTGTTTCCGCCTTTTATTATTGTTCTCTTCGCTCCGTCTCAACCACATAGAAAGCAAGAAGAAGAAGAAGAAGAAAAAAAAAATCAACCAACAATGCAAACTCACCTCTATTTTTGTTTTGTTTTTTTTTGGCTGGCTTTTAAAAACACAGGTTCCACTCTCCTGATCGACGACTTTGACAGCGATGCTCAAGTCGACTTTGTTATTGGATCGCCGTACTTTTCGCCATGGTACGACCATGCCACCAAGGCAAACGACCGCACCAACGAGGGTGACGTGACTGTGTTTTATGGCGCGTTGCAGGCGCGTCAGCTCATCCGCGACAAGTGGAGCAACATTCCGGCGTCCTTCATTACCAACGGTATCCAGGGAGCGTACATTGTCGACGCGTCCATCCCTTCCGCCGCTCTGATTTCAAACACAAATGTCCTGGTGATCAACCTGGCCACCAATGCTGTCATCACTGCCAGCCGCGCCATTACTGCGCACTTTGCTTCGTTGCCGGCGGCCTTCCAGAGCGGCATTGACACGATTCTGGACCATCCCGACGGAAAGCTGTATCTGATCAAGGACACCAATGTTTGCACGTACACCAAATCGTCGCTCGCGTTTTTCGGGACAGACACAGTGACTGCGGCCTTCCCCGGTTTGAGCACGTACGGCTTCACGACGGGCCTGACCGCAGCCTTCTCGAACAACGTCAACCAGATTTACTTTTTCAAGGGCACCCGGTATCTCATGTGGGATTTCGAGCGCTCCAACGTCAACACTGCTTTGCCCTGGCCGATCAACATTAACGCAACCTGCTCCCCATTTGCGACGGCCTTCCCAACCGGGTTTCGCACCGCGTTTACGAGTGTGCAGGTGACGGCGAAATGGTCCACATCCACCATCCCCGTTCAGAACATCCCGTTCGTGTATGCCTTCACCGCAGACGGCTACTTTTCCATGGCCCCTTCGCGATTCTTGACCAACTGCCGCTTTGGCGGATGGGCTGGCAATGCCTTGGCTTCCGGCAAGGCCACGTCCACGTCTTACTCGAGCTTGTTCCTTGGCGCATATGGTTGCGCGAACGCGTGTATTGACAACGAAGGTTGCCTCCAGTTTGGTCGCGTTTGGCAGTTCACCGGCTCGGCGCGTGGCCTTCAGTTTGTCGCTGCGAACAACGACCAAACCACCGACTCGCGTGGCACCCGCACCTCGGGCACGCATGTGGGCACCTCCTTGGATGTCGGCATGGGCCGCCGAACGGGCGCCTACCAGCCAGTCCTCACTGGAGGCAACTTGTGCTCGGGTGACTTTGCGGGCTCGGCGTACAAGTACGGGTCCTCGTTCAACCTGGCCGATGCCTCGCAGCAGACCAAGAACGTCGTGTTGAACACCAAGATGGGCTTGACGGTGCTTGCGCGAGGCGAGTACACTGGCGACACCTACGAGGATTTGGTTGTGAGCTCGATTCGTGGCGACGCCTCGTCGACCGTCAACCCATTCTTTGCGGGCACTGTTTTCATCTACAGTGGCGCGGTGACAATCACCAACGCCAACCCTGTTAGGCGTCTCGAGGGCACTGTTTTCGGCGCTGGTTTCGGCCACTGTCTCGAGCGTGCGGATCTCAACGGCGATGGCCGCGACGACCTCGTGATTAGCGCTCCATTCAATGATGCTGGCCGCGTTTACGTGTACCTGCAGGCAGCCAGCACCGGAATTCCCACGACCGCCACCATGTTTGTTTCCGGGCAGGTCACATACGAGGAATTTGGCTTTAGCGTAGTCCGCATTGGCGACTTGAACAACGATGGGCGCGACGATGTTGCCATCGGCGCACCCATGTACAACTCGCACGAGGGCCGCATCTTTTTGCACTTTGGTGCCGCCACGGGTCTCAACCCGACTGCGGCTCAAATCATCCTGGGCAGCTCCGTGTTTGGCTCGGCCTACCTCAGCTCGCCGATGCAGTTTGGCTACTCGATTGTTGGGCGCGACTTGGACTCGGACTCGTATCCCGACTTGCTTGTGGGTGCTCCCAAGCTGGACGGCGTTGGCGGTGCCGTCTTGCTCTACTCGAACAACCAGGCCGATTCGAGCATCACGCTGGCGACGACTCCCAGCAGCACCATCACGTCACCCGGCTCCTTTTCCGCTGCCTTCACCGTGACCAATGCCGGACCCAATCCTGCTGTTGCAGTCACCTTCACGGTCGACTTGTCAAGCGCCAGCGTCATCAATGCCAACCCCGCCGTCACGGGAACGCTCGTCAGCTCCAGCATCTCGGGCTCGCAGCTGCTGGTTGAGCTTGGTGACTTGCCCAATGGTGCCAGCCGTGTGATTACGCTCAATTTCGGCGCACTCGACGTCACGTACCTGTACCCGAGCAGCATCAGTCTTTCCGCTCACCTTTCGCAAAACAACTCGTCGTACGACTACGTGTCTTCCAACAATGACGTTTCTGCAACGCTCTCCATTGCGACAATCGCCGACCTCATGCTCCAGAATGCCCCAGTGCTGGTCAAGAACACTGCGCCATTCACGGCAACGTCCATCCAGCAAGGCCAGGACATTGTCATCCCGCTTGTGCGCGCCATCAACCTGGGCCCTGCGACTGCCTTTGGCACGAGCATCAAGTTTACCCTGCCCTACGGCGTGACTGTGAAGAGTTTCAACACCACGCTGGGTATCTGCATCGGCGTGACCTCGCTGGATTGCAACTTTGGCAATCTGCTCGTCAACCAGAACGTCACCATTTTCAACTTGGTGCTCGCCACGGCCTCGTTCACCTCCACAGCTGGTGTCACCATTACGATGCAGTCCTCCAGCACCGAACCGACGCCCGATACCCATTCCAACACGTTCGTTACAAACACCGTTTCCGTTGATTCGACGTCGTCCGACCTTGCTACTGCCGCCCTCAGTGTGTACCCGACAGCCGTGGAGGCTGGTGGAAACCTGCTCATGTTCGCCACCTTCTATTGCGCCGGTGTGCGTGATGCCGACCTTGCCATTGCCACCCTGACGTTGGGCGCCGGCACCAACGTCACCGATGTCTCCCTGGCGGGCTTTGCGGGCAATTGCTCGACAGCCACGTCGGGAGCGTTCGGTGCGGCTGTCGTCACCTGCTGGATTCGTTTCTTCCGTGCAGGCGCGTCGGCCACTGTCACTGTGGCCGCCGACGTTAGCGGCCTGCTTTTGGCTGGCTCGAGCATCGCCTCGTCCGCCAACATCACTTCTGCGCTGCATGACCCTGTTATGACCGACAACTTTATGGCTGGCCCGACCATTTCAGTCTCCCGCCTCACCAAGTTCTCCGTCACGCACGTGCTCGATATTTTTGATGTCTACTCGCCGCCGTTCTACCTGAACAACCTGGTGAATGTGACCACCACCGTTCTGAACGAAGGACCCTCCCCGATGCTTGCGCCAGTTGTTGTTTACATCATTCTCGACCCTCGCCTGACGTTTGGAGACTTGCTGTTGGATCACGGATGCACCGCCACCTTGCATGCTGGTGCCAACATTACTGTCGCCTGCTCAGTTCCTGCCTTCCCCGTCGGCAACGCTATTGACCTCAACACGGGCTTTAAGATTTCGTCGGCGACCTCGACCCAGATGACAGTCCGCTCGTTTGTTGACGTGGCCTCCCAACCGGCCCCCTTGCTGCTGGATGTTGACTTTACCGTGGATCTCGTCACGTCGCTTCGCCTGCCTGACGACGTTGTTGGATTTTTTGAGGTTCCGCAAGGATCGAGCTTTACCATCACGTTCGGCTTCAATAACGTCGGTCACAACGACGCCACCAACGTCGTGGCCACGCTGTCCCTCCCAAGCCACGTTACGTTTGTCCAGGGTACAGGCACGCCCTACACTGCCCCGTGTGTCCTTGTCGGCTCGGACGTTCAGTGCCCGATGGGCACGCACGTTCGTGACAGCGGTTCCATCTCGTCTGGCCAGATCACCCTGACATCGTCCACCGTTGGCGTGTATGACTTTGTCCTCAACAGCGCTTCGGATCAAACTGACAACACGGACAATCGGGCCTACTTTTCAGTGAGTGTGCGCGAGTTCTCCGATATTGCATTGTCGCTCAGCGCACCGACGCTTGCGACCAAGGGTGGCCAGCTCACCTACGGCGTCCAAGTCGACAATCTCGGTCCTGGTGATGCGCACGACATTGAATTTACCCTGGCATATGACGCTGCTCACCTCACCATTGTTTCCTTCAACCAAAATGCGACCTACGGCTGCACCGAGTCCACCCCAGGATCCCTGCTGTGCCCCTTTGGCTCGCTCCCACCGTCTGGCTCCATTACCGCCCTGGCCTTTGTGTTTGCCATTGCCGAGGGCAGTCCAAGCTCAGTCACTGCGACCGGCACGCTGACCCAATCCGTCGACGAAGGCACTGGCGACCCGCTCCTGAACAACGTTGCGACCCGGACGACTGGGCTTGCCGACCCCTATGTCGACTTTAAGCTGTCCATGACCTTCACGCCGGCCGTGTTTATCGTAGAGCCGGGCCGCCGGTTTGTCGAAACGCTCATCATCTCGAACGATGGTGTGCGCGCTGACCAACCCATCTTGTCGATCGAGTCCTGGCCGTCTGGCATGATCATCAACTCGATCGACCTGGCCTCGGCGGCAGGCAACACGTCTCTCCTGACTGGCTGCCCCATCCTCAACAGCACAAACCCCGCTCCTTGGAACTGCACCTTGCCCTCGCAGCCTGCTCGAACCAACGCGTTCATCGTGACTGCCACGGGCTCGTTCCTGTCGAGTCGCGACGCCATCAATGGCTTGGCCTTGTTGAAAGCCCGCGTATCGCCCCTCAGTATCAACGACATTGACCCTGACAACAACGCTGCTGACGGCATTTTGGAAATCACGGTCACCGTTGCTCGTGCCACAAGCGATGATGATAGCTCTGTCGCGTGGTGGATTATTCTCCTGGCATGTCTCGGCGGTGTACTTGTTGTTTCAGGTGAGCGGTGTGATTTTTTTTTTTGGGTTTTTGTATTTGTACAGGGGAGTGGCGTCAAAAGTTTGCTCAAAGCTTCAAAGCTTGGATGCCACGCGCAAAGCTCACCCTGCCATTTTCTGTCTGTATTTGTGATTGATAGGCGCAATCTTTATGCTGAAAAAGCGAGGATTCTTTGCTCGCAAGTTGCCTCCGCCCATGCTTGAGAATTCTCTTGAGGATTAGCGTGTTGTGTTTGTTTGTTGTGTGCCGGCTGCGTCGTGGCTGCGTGTCTGGTGTTGTTTGTTTGTTGTTGGTTGTTGTTTGTCCTAGCAATTGTTGCTACCGGCCTAATAGAAGTATTTTGTTCCTGGATGGTCTACGGTTGTTGTGCATGTTAACTCACAGTAGAGCTTGTTTTAGGAAGGCTACAGTTCTATGATTCCAGTTTGTGTCATACAACATAAGCGAGTTTGTTCACAGCATAGAGATTCAATCCTTTTTTTTTCTCTCTTTTTTTTTTTTTTTTTTTTTTTTTTTCTATCTCTTTTGGTTTTCCAAGATGGAAGGCGAGTCTGGCGCTGCTGCATCAGGAGGGCACGTCGCTGCACCGCCCCTCGCAGCAAATGCATCAGAAGCAACACACGACGCATACGTCCAATCTCATCCTCAACACGCGAAAGCGACAGAATCAGCCAATGCAGTTGTAGATCAGAATGAGCGTAGTGAAGCCGCTTCACACTTGCTGCCGAATCGCGACCAACAACTACCCAGCATGTCAGTGTCAGTCGAGCCAGCAAGCGCACCCCCCGCTGCAGCACTACCATCAGCATCGCCATCTGTATCATCATCATCATCATCATCAGCATCAGCAGCAGCATCATCAGCATCAGCAGCAGGAGGAGGCAGGCGACGAGGCGGCCAATCTCAATCCCAATCCCAATCTCATTCGCATTCTCAAACAAGGAGCAGCAGCAGCAGCAGCAGCAGCAGCAGCAGAGGAGCGTCGACAACGACACCGCGCGCCGCTTTGTCATCATCATCATCGTCATCGTCCCCAAGCGCAGGCGTCGAGCAGCGAACGTCGACGCGAGTGCAGCGCCGCAAGCGAGATGCGCAGATTGACTATCTGCAGCTATTCGACTTTGTGTTTGCCGTTGCGCCCGAGGCTGCTGCAGACGCCGCTGCGGCCCGCGAGAAGCAGCGCAAGGCAGCCATGATGCTGACGGACGAACCCAGCGGCGCAACTGCAGCAAGCGGTGGCGGCAGCGGCGGCGGCTGGGATGGGTCGACTGCGCAGCGTCGAAGGCTTCCTACATCAGCGACGACGACGACGACTCGTCCTACCAGTGTCAATGGCATTAGCAGTAGTGGTAGTAGTGGTAGTGGTAGTAGTAGTGGTAGTAGTGGTGGTGCTGCAGCGGATGGCCACCCTCAGCCTCAGCGAACTGGTGCTGGCCATGAAAAGCATTTCCCAACAAGCGAGCGACTGACTTCCAAGCGACCCGCCGAGCCCTCCTCATCCTCATCAGCATCAGCATCCTCATCGTCATTGTTGACGACGTCTGGTGGCGATGGGAGCCTCAAGACGAAGCCGGGAAGCGACGACGCCAAGCAAAGAGCAGCCAAACTGCCTCGATTGGAATCCGCATCGTCCTCTTCTTCTGCTGCTGCTGCTGCTGCTGCTGCGAATCCTGCGCCGGGTGGTCTCAGTGCGATCGACATGTCAAGTGCACACAAGAGCATCCTGTCGAGTGCTGCTGGTGCTGCCGCTGGGACGACCCATGCAGCGAAACAGCGAACGCAGCAGGCTGGGTCGGGATCTGCGTTGCCCTCGCCAACTCCCAGGAATGCATCGCGAGTCAATGCCACGTCCCAAGCTCAAGTTGCGAGTGCAGGTGGTGTGCAAGCTCAAGTTGCGAGTATCAGTGGTGCGCAAGCTCAAGTTGCGAGCACGAGTGCAAATGGTCCTCAAGTTCAAGCTCAAGCGCAGGATTTCGTCGCGCCAACAGTCTCAGTCAGCTCAGAAGGACCGTGGTCGGCCTCGTTTGCAGTGGGAAGCGTCCCTCCGATGATGCATCACCATCCAACTGCGGTGATTGCAATGGACGTGACGATGCAGCCAAAGACATCGTCCTCCTCGTCTTCGTCGCTGTCGTCGTTGTCGTCACCTTCACTGAATGCGCTAAATGCGACTTTCATCAACGGCAAGGAACTGTCGGATCCGAATGCTTTGACTGTGGGAAATCCCAACCATCGCCACCCCCATCAGCATCAGCAGCTCCATCCACAACATCCTCATCAACAACATCAACATCCGCATCAACAACATCAACATTACATTCAGCAGCCTCAGTACTCTCACCAGCCAGCAAGTACATCAGTGCAACACATTCAACACAATCAGCACCATCATCACCACCATCAACTCCATCATCCAGCCCACTTGCAGCAGCCACCGACGCGGCACCATCTAGAGTCGAGCGACCAGCGCTCTTCGTCCTTCTCTCTGCCACCGAGCCAGCTGTCTCTCGGAGGCTCGGAGTTGTCGGATGTTTCGCGAAAACTGTCAATGGCCGCAGCGGATACATCTCCGGTGATGGACGGCTTTTCACCTCACAACAGCTTGCTTCGACACTCTCATTCGCACACTGGCATCACTGGCATCACCGTGGTTCCCGAGCAGCAACAGGCATTTGCACTTTCCGCCGATTTGAGTCTACCGACACTCCACAGCCACTCGCCTTCGTCTTTAGCTTCGGATTTGCAAATGCTGCAGCATCAACTACAACAGCAGCAGCAGCAACAGCAGTCGCAGCAGCAGCAGCAGCAGCAGCAGCAGCAGCAACAACAACAACAACAACAACAACAACAACAACAACAACAACAGCAGCAGTCGCAGCTTCACGAGTTACTTCAGCACCAACATTTCCTCCAACTGTCCAACCACGCCAGCCTGAACACACCACCCCAACCGCTCCCGTTACCACAGGTAGCCGACGTTGATGCCTACTCAGTCAAGGACATTACTGTCGCCCTTGCGACACTTGACGCTGATGACCAGGACTGGCTGGCTCGGCTTGCGACCACTGGGCTCACCCAACAACTCCCCGTGTTGATCAAGGTCCTCCATCGAATGAAGGATCTGCAGCAACAAAACACGACGCTGCAGCGACAGCTCCAGGCGTCACTCCGCGCTCAGGCTTCTGGCCAGCTCCTTTCGCCTGGAATGCACAGTGTAGCGTCCTGGTCGTCGTCTGCTGGAAACCACACGCACCCTCAATTGTCTGGGCGGCCACACACAAGCACCTCCAACCATTCCCTCCTTTCGCCACATCTCGTCGCGTCGCCGCGGCCAGCCCAGTCTCCCCGGCTGGCATTCGGGTTTAATTCGAACAGCTCTCCAATGCTTGACGCCATGTACCATGCCGACGAGGCAACGCCACACTCTGCGGGCAGCTCTGTCACCATTCCTTCAGCAGGTTCTTCCACATTGGTGCCTACTTTTGCTCCCGAGTCTGGTGTGTCTGCCTCATCTGTCGCAGCCGGTTCTCTGCTCGCCAATAATGCTCCTGTCATGTCAGGAGCAGCAGTGCCTGGCATGCCTTCCACAATGGAACTGGGCAATGCAAAGTTGGCTCTGCTCCCAGGACCTCATCAAATCTCCGAACCTGCTGCGATCAAGATGGAGGACGCGCCCTCGTCGTCAATGTCCACCCCAAATGCGCTTGACAAAAAGTTGGTTAGTTCAAAGACACAACCCATGTCGTCAGCTTCCCCGACCGCAACTGACGCCAAACCGGCGGCGGCGTCGGGTAAAAAGCCATCCCAGAAATCAACGGCTACTCCTCCTCCTCCTCCTCCTCCTCCTCCTCGTCCCTCTACTCCTCCCCCGCCTCCGTCGGCTGAGACGTCCGCCGATGCATCAAAGCGCGGGCGTGGACGACCCAAAAAGTCCGACGCGGCTGCTGTCTCGACGCTCGACTTGGTCGCGAACGACCCCACCGTTCCGCCGCCGCAGTTGATCCGCTCCCTCTTGCCCGCGCTTCCAAAGTGGCGTGGAACGGCCTCAATAGCACCTGGAGTCGACGCCATCTACCGCTTGATTGACCGAAAGTCGGATCTCCATTGGGGCATGTCGAGCAACTGGGATGTGAGCAATCAACGCTCCCGCCGCCGGACAGAGCGCGTCGTCGTGGACTTTGACGACGCTTCAACGCTCATGGCGAGTGCTGCGGAGAGGAAGGTTCACTCGGCGTCAGAGCCACTCAGCGAGACGTACGGCGAGTGCACCATTGGGTCTGTGGCCCGCATTTTGGACATGCTGGGCAATCTTTCTGCCTTTGTGCAGGAGAACTACCAAGGCCGGCTTGCCGTCCCGTACGATGCCAAGTTTGATCTCGGTCGCGACTCCAAGTTCCTCGACGTCGGGTCTGGGTTTGGCAAGGTCGTCTTTCATGCCAAGCTTGCGCGTCATGTTACCGAATCGGTGGGAATCGAATGCGTCTCGATGCGCCACAACATTGCCGACCACATTCGCCAAATGGCTGCCGCATGGGAGATTCCAGAGCTTTTGGTGGACGAAAACGCGCCCACCCCTCCTCCCCGCCGCACCTTCACCAATCCCTCAACCCCGATCGGCTCGAAAGCCTCCAGCGCGGCGGCGTCTCCTGCGGCCGTTGCCACTGACATCCATACCCTGGATTCCAGTCATCTGGAAGAAGGCCACCCGCCTCCCAATCTTTCCTTGCTAGAAAGCGACTCGGCCAGTGCGGTCGAGTCGACGCTTGATGGTACCCAAGGCGGTGGCGAGCCTCGTTCCAATGCGGGGGTTGCCGACACGCTGACAGCACAACCCATGGATGTCGACGCGTCAGCCTCCTCCGACAATGGGCACTCTCAAGCGGCGGGAATGCAGCATCCTTCGGAGGACTCGGTCCCTTCGGCAGTCGCAACTCCCATGGAGATCGAGCCGAGTGCTGCTGCTGCAGCTGCTGCAGGCAGGGGCGGCAAGGCCAGGACGGTGAAAAGCTCAAAGCTGCCCCAGCCTGGTGTGAGGTCGCTGCTCGACACGAACGGCTTGCTCTTCTGGTTTGGAGACGCCACTCGCTACGCCTCACTCGACTATACACACATTTACTGCTTTGACAAGGTGTTTTCACCCATGCTCTTGCAAGAGATGGCCAAAACGCTCAACCGCTCTGATTTCTACATTTTGGTGAGCTATCATGCTCCGGAAGTGTGGTTTTCCCTTGGCCTGTTCAAGATCTTCCCTCTGGGTGTCTGCCCCATGAAATCTACTGGCAAGGAACATTTCACGGCGTACATTTACCTGAATGTGGTAGCAGCCAAAGCAGCTCTTCTTCGTGGCTGATTGGATTTTTTATTTGTTTTTTTTTTTTTTGCTTTGAGCTGCTGTTGGCAAATGAGTGCCCCCTTCATTGAAGTTATCTTCGTCTTCCTTTGTCTTTCTTTTTTCTTGCACATTGCTATGTTATCTCGATAAAATTCGTGTTTGAACAAGATGGATTGATACATTTTTCATAACTCGTGTTGTGGCAGGTATACCACTTGCTGTACTTGCACTGCGGCGTCTTCGTCATAGAATGGTGCATGGTCAGCGGGAGCGATTGTATCCGGCTCCATCCAGTCTCGGTGGGGGTTACCGTCCTCGGCCACAGATGCCTGGGGCTGCTCGAGCTCATCGAGTCGCTTGGTCAGCGCGTCGCGCACCGTGATGATGGTTGATTTTGCAGCAACTGCGTACGCAAACGATGAGAGGCATCGGTAGCACTCATGGTGTTGGAGGCCATAGGTTCGAAGAGCGTCCTGTGAGAACAAAAGAAAGGTTTTGCGAACAAAGAGGAACAAACTACTTGTAAGTTCTGCAGATATTCTTTGCTCGTCAGGCAGGCACAAGCCACACGTACCATTTCAGCGTGTTGCACAGGACATGCTTCGTGAATTTGCTGCAGCAGGCGACGCAACATGCGACGCTCATGCGCAATTGAAATTTCGCTGTTGGCATCTGGCGAGGCCGCTTTCTCGCGCTGCTCGAGAATGGCGAGCTCGTGTTCGTTGGCGACCATGACGCGCATCGCAAATTGCAAATCATCGTCGATCGGTTCGTCGATAGACGGCCAGAGACGGAACTCGTACCAAGGACTGCGTCAAGAAGGCGCGGCAAGTGAAATGACATTGTCAGTAACATTGGGCAAGACGCCACGCCCACACTTGCCTGGAGAGGCCGCGACCCTCGAGAAGACGCAGCCGCCGCGGGTAATCAATGTCCTTTGATTCCCAACTCAAGCGAATGGGATAGAAATCGAGATTCTCGGACATTTCAACAAACCCGTACAGGAGCAACAATACATGCGAAGACATTTCGTAGTCGATTGTAATCTGTTTTGACGGTCAAAGCCTGTTTTGTGAGCTCTCATTCGTTTTCGTTGTCCTCTCGCAACCCCCCCCCCTCAAAGAGATGGCATTCATAGGCAAACCTCCTCTCCAGCTTTCAAGCTCGTTTTCGTCCGGACGAGAATGTTTGGTCCACTGGCCACCACGACCGCATTCTGAGAGAACAAACCCATCCAGACAGTCAGTGAAAGGGATACACAGGTCCACTGTCCAAGCATGTCGCAAGGATCGTCCGCTCCAAAGCAACGTACCGGTTCTCGGTGGTGATTGATCATGTCGACGATTGGCAACAGGGACAGGCCATTCTTCTCGGACTCGTGCAGCCCGCGCGTTTGTGCAATAACGGCAGCCCATACAAAAGCCTCGATGGTAAAGTCCACGCCGACGAGATCACTTTCGTAGGTCTGATTGCGAGAACGTGAGTATGGAAGCGCGGCAGCGCGAAACACAATGCGATTTTGCTCGACGCATCTTACGTCGATAAAGGGAGTGATGACGCTCTCGTACACAGCCTCGAGGTTGCGAATACGCTCCTCGCGCAATTCTAGCAATTCGGCAGCACGCAAAATGTGAATGAATCGCAAAACATGAACTGACGCACACTCTCCGTACCTTTGACGTAAAGTTGCTCCACTGGCCACAGCTCGACATCATTCCACTCAAGCATGGATTCAATCGGATCAGGAAGCATTCGAAGCCAGGCACGCCAAGGCGAATCGGCACGGCTCCGCTCGTACATCAAGCCCAATGCCAACGCCGTCATTGGATCGATTGCGTTGTCGTGTTGTTCGTTGAATTCATCAATCAACGATCGGAGAGCCGAGTCTATCATGGAGACAAGGTTCACAGCAGTCTCAGTCGATGCTCAGATGCTCAGAGAGTCCTCCGCTGCTGCTCACCGAAAGCTGGCACTCGGAATCTTGCACGCGGTGGCAAAGTCACGATCGCCTCGCCACGTCTAGCGGGAGCATTGAGCACGAGTCCCAGCCCCTTGTTACCATATGTACGCAATTCAATCGCCGGATCCCCATCAGTCAATCCAATCCAATCAAGCCATCAAGCAATCAATCAAGAGCAATACACCTTCACACAATGCCAAACCAAAATTCCCCACAAATCACTCCGAATTCTACTCTCTTACCCTTGATTCGAACAGGAACTTGGCGGATGCGGACGTGTCTGTGGACGGTCGAATGTCGACGCGCGCCATTTCAATCTCAGCCCTGCGCGCCCAGCTCACGAGATCAATGATCCGCTGCACCTGTGCGGCTGTCCCCGACGCCGAAACGCAGCGACGAGAAGGAGAAGGTTCCGGAAGTGAGTTTCATTGCGCGTTTGTTTGTCAAGGACGAGGCGAGCGACAAAGCGGATCATTGCGTGCGATTGGCATCAAACTCACTCCCGCCAACAAGCCGCCCTTCCTGTGCTTGGACGAACGAGACGCTTGGAAGCAAGAGCCAGTGGAGGACGAGTATGGCCGCGGCCAGTGCCGGAACCGAGCGTCCTGGCTGTGGAGGGAATGCCATCCGAGCGACAGCCACGAATGAACGAAGAGTGAACAACGCAGCCCCCAAGCAAGAGCTCCGATCAAAAGGGGGGGGGCAGAGAGAAGAAGGTTGTGTTTGTGTGAAATGATAGAAAACTATATGGTGTTGACCAGAATAACATAATGACAACTGGCAAAAAGCAAAAAAACCAACAACGAGCGCGAAACAATCCAATTTGACACCACCCCACCCTCAAGAAGTTATGCCTCGGAGACACCGCCGAGCTCGGCAATCTCGAACGGCGCGCCAACAATGCGAAGCTGAGACGCGGGCTTGAGGCTCCGGATGCACTCGGTCAGGCGATTGCACCCGAATATTTCAATCCGCGACAACTGCTCGCACGATCGCACAATCGCAGCAAAGCTCGGGTCGTCCATGGACCGACACCACGAAACATCCAGCACCTGCAGGTCTGTCAAGGCCTGCGCGCTGAAGGCGGTGGGCTCGGGGAGCGGATCCACAATGACGACGCCGGTGGTCGGGTTGCGCCGCACAGGCAGCTGCGCGTGGTGGAGACGTGTCGCTTCGATTGCTTGGTCGAACAACTCGCGGTCGTGTGCAATGCATGCAAATAGCGCCGGAGTAAGATTGTTGAGCGAGTTTAACGAGAGGACGCGCAATCGAGGGCAGTGCAGCACGAGCTGGCCGACGCCCAGATCAGACAAGGTGCCACAGCGAGTGAGATTGATTTGCTTCAACTCGGGCGCGTGAGTGGCGATATTGGCAACGGTTTCGTTCGTCATGGCTGCCGCGCAATTGGCCGCAGATAGGCACCGAAGCGCGTGGCAGCGCGAGCCAATCATCATACCCGTCTCACGCCCAATGGCAAGCTCGTCAATGTACAGCTCTTCGAGGTGGGCGCCGATGGCCCCGAGCAACGGAATGACACCGCGATCGGTGACTGTGCACTGCGCCAACGACAGAGTTTTCAAATTTGCGAGACCGTGGAGGACAGAAAGCATGTCGTCGGTGATGGAGATGCAGCACTGCAGCGACAAATGCCGCAGCGAGGCAGACAGAGCGGCCATGTTGTCGCTCATCGTTTTGATGAAGCGAGCACCCAAGTTGGCGGAAACCGAAATCTCGAGCCGCTCCAGCCGTGGATGGCTTTGGACAAGTCGAGCAAACGCGGCGTCTTTGACGAGGAAGCAGCCGTTCAATCGAATCGCATTCAGCAGGACGCACCTCTCGGACAAAAAGTCAAGAGCGGCGTCGGTGAGCCGGCCACAACAATCCAAGAGCAAGCTCAGCAAGCAGGGGCAATGCTCGGCGATGAGTCCAAACCCATCTGCATCCAGGCCTGGTGCGCAATCGAAAGGAAAGGCCGTACACAAAACACAAAACGACGACAAGCAGACGACAAAAAAAGAGTCAGCAACCTTAAAAAAAAAACACGAAAAAGGAAGAAGCACTTTCGTATTGTTGTTGTTGTTGCTGTTTGTTGTCCAACATACCAGAGCAATCGCCCAGCTTCAATTCCTCCAGCTCGGGTGTAAGGAACAAGGTCAACGTCGAATTGTTGAGCTTTCGGTGTCGGCAGATCACGGAGCGAATGTTGGCGAGGTGCGCGGGCGCAATCGGACCGAACGATTCAACTGAGTCGATATACTTGCAAATAACCTGCACAACAGTCACGAAAGAGGGGGGGGGCAAAACGGAAATGAGCCAACAAATCAGCCATAACAAGACACAAAAAGTCTCTCCTCCTCCTCCTCCTCTCCCTCCCTCCCTCTTTTCCTCGGCTTACATTGACACAAAGTTGCTGCAGAGGAGGCACGGCGGTTTCCGTCCCGAGCACATTGATTTTGGTGGCGACACGACGACCGCGCTTCAAAGCCGACTCTGGCTGCTTTTCTGCAGGCTTGGGCGACGACGATGCAGATGCTCGCGTGCGTTCTGGAGGCACTGCATGCACCAGCTGGGTCTGCTAATGCTCATATTTTCTGGCGTCAAGCGACAGTGGCAAATGATGCAAATGGTGTGTCCGTCACGCGCCATATCGGCAACGAAATTGGAATCTCCGCGGAATTGCCAATCATTATCATCATCATCGGAACTGGACGAGCTGCTGCTGCTGCCGTTTCTTTTTCGAGACTTGCGCTTTGGTGTGCCAGTGGAGCTTGCAGCCTGTTCCTTCCCTTTGCCTTTGCCTTTGTCTTTGTCTTTGCCACTCGGTTCACCGTTGGCGGCACCATTGCCATTCGCCGTGTCCATCGACTGAAGCGCGCTGGTAGCCGAGCGACCCAACATTGGAGCAAGAAGCAGGCTGCCGTCTGGAGCAGTCGCCGTCTGCGCATTGAAAGAGGGTGCAGAGGAAGAGCTAGCAGCACTTTCGACCTGGGCATCAGCAGCGGCAGCATCAGTCGCCATTGCTGCCGTTGCTGTTGCCTGGGCTGCGGCAGTAGCGGCGGCAGCGGCTGCAGCGGCGGCCTCGTTTCCATTCCGTCGGCGATACCAGTCGGTCGGAACACGCGACCGAATACCTTGCTCTTCCAAGAAGGAAGTGAGCGCGCTGCGGGGACCACGAACATTCCGCCGCGCTGTCGCTGTCGGAGTGGGTGCCGCTCTGGAGGATGGCGGTGGAGCAAGCATGACAGTGTTGCTTCGCGGTGAGCCAGACTGTTGTGCCTGTGGTTCCGAAGGCGCAAAGTAACGCTGCACGACAGTACTGGCTGTAAGCGTTGCTGGGTTTGCTGATTGTTCTTCTGTCGCCGAGGATGATGAGCTACCATCTCCATCATCGGGTTGAGGAAGAGCGGGCGCTGCCTGCGACTGTGTTGGCTGCGTGTCTTGGAGACCAGTGGTCTCGGTTGGCCTTGATTCAGGTGCAGGAGCAGAAACTGCAGAAACAGATGCAGGAGCGGGTGCGGAGGAGGACGAGGACGACTCTTGCGGCGGAGGCGGCATGGAGGACGACGATGCTGAGACAGCCGAATTGGGAGAACCTGCAAAGGATGCGGTTGTCCATGCCGCTCCCTGCTGTAGGCGAGACACGGAGCAGGCATGGCAGTACCATGCCGAGTCGTCGTCTGCCAGCTCGTTCTCGTCAATGTCGAGGCAAACCGGGTGGAACGCACGAGGGCAGCCATCGCAGCACAAGAGCCGCCCTGTGCCACGGCACTCGGTGCAAAACTCGTCGTTCTGATCTCGAGCTCCATCGGCCGCCATCATGACCTCGGCGGGAGGTGGTGGTGCTTGGGCAGAGTTGCGCCGCGGGCTTGCTGCTGGTCGCTGTCGTCGGCCGCGACTTGAATCGCCGTCCGCGGGCACGCTCGCACTCTCGTCGCCATCCGCTTGAACATCCATGCGCGGCCGTTTGGCTTGGTGTGTCTGTCTGCGAGGTCGACCCGTCGCAGCAGCAGCAGGAGGAGCAGCACAAGAGCATCGGCGGCAGTCTCAATCTCGCCGCCATCTTCCTCTGCTGATGACGACGACGACGACGAGTCCGTCTGCGCCGCTCTCCTCGTCCGCTTGTTTGCTGGCATGATCGTCTTCAACTTGACTTGCTTGTTTCTTCGAGGAGTTCTTGTTCTAGTTATCAACACGCGACAAAAAGACTGAACAAACCATAATTTTAGTGTGCGTTCATCTTTTTGCGTGTGTTCTCAGCAAAAGCCCGCGCAAAAAGGGAGAGTCGCGAGTGTCCGAGGCGACTCTCCCTTTTCGCGATCAATCCATCATTGCCATTCCCCCTCTCTTCTTCAACCCTCGACGTGCGCACAACTGTCGATCTGACCGAGTCGCGGAGATTACCATGTTGTTTTTGCAAGCGTGTTGCGTGCTCGGTCGTGCAATTGTCTTGGCGGCTGCTCCACCTGTCCGCTCCTGCTCTGGTTTGATTGAGCGTATGTTTCTCTCAGGATGCTGATCTTGTCTGTTTGGGGGAAGGTGAGGGGCGGGTTTGATCGACGATTGCTGAAAACACTCCAAACGAATAAAGCTCAGTCGTTCTTCTTCTTGTTCGCTTACCACATGCCTGGCGTCAAGAGAACCGCTGCTGGTCGCCCACGCCGCAGCACTCGCAATACTACTGCTGCTGCTGCTGCTTCTAATGCTTCTTTTGATGCTGCTGCTGCTGCGAGTGATGATGCAGAAGGCGAGGTGATCTCCGTCTCGAGCTCGTCCGCGGCGGGATCGTCGGAGGTTGTCTCGGCTGCTGACGAGGACGAGGACGACCACGCAACCCGCCCGAAGCGCGCGCGTCGTGTCGCTGCTGCTCGTGGCAGTACAAGTACGATTGGCGACAGTCCGGTTGCCACCCGTCAACCAGCTCTCGCACCTGCAGCTGCAGCGGCGGCGGCTGCAGCAATCGCCACAAGGCGAGTCCCAGCACCGCGCACAGCGAAACCAATCCCTGCGTCACTCCTCGTTGACGACGAGTCGAACAGCGACGAAGATGACTTTATGCCTTCGTCAGCCTCAGGCTCGCAAGCTTCCCAGCCAACCCCGATGCGCGGTATGGCATCCTCATCGCCGGGTGTGACTCCCGCTCGCCGTTTCGCACACAAGTCTACCGATGTCCTGAATGCGGATGTCAACAATCAAGCCATGCATGTGGATGATGATGATGATGATGATGACGATGATTGGAGCGCTCTCGCATCTCCGATTCAAGGCGCTAAATTGGCACGTCCGACTCGCGCACGTCGCGCGACACGCAACTCCAACTCCAACTCCACCCCCGCTCGGAAAAGGTTTGGCCGTGCTGTTTCGAGCGACAGTGATGATGGGTCCTTCCACCAACAGTGATGCTGTGGAGTCCATCAGCTCAGACACGGCCAGCTCCATGAGTGATGGCAGTGAATCGGACGTTGAGGAGGAAACAGAGGACTTGCTCGAGGATGATTCGACAACCACCGCCTCCACCACCGCACCAACCCCGCCGACACCTGCGACGCCGAGTCCGACAGCTGCGACTCTGAATCGACGTCGGCAGCCTCGTGGCCGAGGTGGCCGTGCGGCCGGTGTCTCGAGCACCGATCTGCATCCTGTCGACCCGAACACCAACGAAGTTGTCGACACACATCTATCCGTCCTCGAAAAGCGGTACCGTAGATTCCTTGATAATGTAAGGTCAAAGTGGAGATGTTGTTTTGGAGTGAGGAGGAGGGAGGGGGCGTTGCTCTTTTTTTTTTTTTTTTTTGTTTGTTTGGTTTTTTTTTTTCTCGGGCGCTCATCCCTTCTTACTTGCCTTTTGGTTCGGTCGCTAGCGCCATGAGAGAATCTACCTCGTCCATCCCGAACTGCGAACGGTTTGGACGGATTTGGACGCGCGAATTGCCAAGCGCGCTGCGTTGGTTCCGGAAGCGGCAGTGGTCGCGCCAGCCGACAAGGACGGGCCCGCTGGACCTCCGCGCATGGCTGCTCCGCCCACCCTCTTGTTGCGCCTCCTGCCCTTCCAGGAGGAGAGTCTTGCCTGGCTTCTGGCTCAAGAGGCGTCGGATTTGAAAGGCGGCATTCTTGCAGACGAAATGGGTATGGGCAAGACCATCCAAATCATCTCCATGCTGCTCGCCAGCGACAAGCACCCCGGCCACCCCACGCTTATTATTACGCCGACTGTGGCCATGTTGCAATGGCTGTCTGAGCTCACCAAGCACACTGCACCCGGCACTCTGGCGGTGCACGTGCACCACAAAAAGACGGGCCGGGTCACTGATGCTGCCGACCTTGCGCGGTTTGATGTGGTGCTGACGACGTACGCGCTCCTGGAAGGGGATTTCCGTCGCTCCACCTACGGCTCTGTTCGGAAGGCTGGCAAGGTGATTGAGCCGTCCGTCCTGCAAAATGTCGAGTGGCATCGCGTGGTGCTGGACGAAGCGCATTGCATCAAAGACCGCTCCTGTAGCACCTCGCGTGCCGCGTTTGCCTTAAAGTCCACCGTTCGCTGGTCGCTGACGGGCACTCCCCTTCAAAACCGGGTTGGCGAGCTGTACTCGCTCATTCGCTTCATGCGTCTCGATCCCTTCTCCTACTACTTTTGCACACAATGCTCCTGCAAGTCCCTCAACTGGAGCTTTGCAGGCCAGAGGTCTTGCACAGATTGCGGCCACCGTCCCATGGAGTGAGTAGAAGAACTGTGGTTTGTAACTTTGGAGAAATTATCCGTGTGTGTGTGCTGTGCTTGGAAGTGCCTGATTCTCACCTCTTTCTGGTTGCCTTTTTTCCCTCCACTTTTGGGGTTGCACTCTGTCTGACAGTCATTTCTGCTGGTGGAACTCGGAAGTCCTCAAGCCAATTCAGCGTTATGGCGGGTTTGGTCCTGGCCGGGTTGCCTTTGAGCAGCTCGGGCGACTCATGAACCTGTGCATGCTGCGCCGCACCAAGCTTGAACGAGCTGCAGATCTCGGCTTGCCGCCTCGAATTGTCGTGACACGCCGAGACATGTTTAACGAGGAGGAGGAAGACTTTTACCAAAGCCTGTACAAGGAATCCAAGACGCGCTTCCAGACTTATGTCGATGCTGGCACAGTGTATGAATACGCGAAAAGCTTGTGTGAAGCAAGCGTTGGTGGTGGGGAGGAAGGGGGGTCGGCTCAATGATTTTTTTATTTCATTCTGCGTTTCTTCTCCCGCAGGCTTTCAAACTATGCGCATGTGTTTGAGCTACTGACCAAAATGAGGTGGGTTTCATTGTTATGCATTGTGATGGGTTGTCGAGCCCGAAATCTCACTCCACTAACATTGTCGTTGTTTTGGTTATTTGTTTGTTATTTCACAAATATGCCAGACAAGCGGCCAACCACCCCTACCTCGTCAAGCTCAACATGGCACCATCCGCAACCACTGCAGCAGATTCCATGCAAGTGTTGGTTTGCGGAATTTGTCACGAAGAAGCGGAAGATGCCATTGTTGCCGCATCCTGTCGGCACGTCTTTTGCCGGGAAGATATGCACCTGTATCTGTCCTCCAGCGGTGTCGACAAGCCTCAGTGTCCCGTTTGCTTCCGCCCCTTGACGGTGGACATGAACCAGCCGACATTTGAACCCCCAAACCCGACTGGTGGCACTGCAGCAAGGAAGAAACCCTCCATCATCAACCGCATGGTGTTGGACCGTTGGCGCAGCAGCACCAAGATCGAGGCTCTCTTGGAGGAGCTGTATCGGCTTCGCGCCGATGACAAGAGCATCAAGGTAGTTCAAGTTGGACTTGTGCTTTTTTTTTTTTGTTTGCTTGTTTGTTTTCTCTCTCACTCACGTCGTGCGCGCACACGCACACGCACACTCCGTTGCAGAGTATCGTATTTTCACAGTATGTGAACTTTCTCGACCTTGTGGAATGGAGATTGCTCAAGGGTGGCATTCGTTGCGTGAAACTGGATGGCCGCATGTCGCCGGAGCAACGAGATAACGTCATCAAGGCCTTCTCGACAAACCCGCAAATCACTGTTTTCCTCGTTTCACTCAAGGTAAACCCCGCCGAGTGATTGTTGTGGTGTTTTTCTCTCGGCTTTTTGTAGTCTGTT